TCATGCATGTTTGTTTGTCATTACTAATAAACTCATTCATATTAAAATAAATTAAAATTAAATAATAATGTTAGTATGTTAACTTTTAAAATAAGAAAGGAAGATCATATATAATTTAATTGTTTCTCAAAAAGGAAAAGTACGTGTGGTTTACTCTAAACAATAAATACTAAAAAATTAATGACATGAAATTTATTTCCCAAAAAAAATATTAAAGGTTACAAAATAGAATATGACTAACAATTAATGATGAGAAGTTTTTCTCGCATCTTAGATCTGACATTAGGGGTATTTGGCAAAATTAGTTAATAATTATTTAGCTAATAAACGAGGACATTTGTGAAGGAAAAAATAGCATAAAAAGAAAATTTTAGTTTATCAATATTTATTATTTCTCAAATTTGTATACCTTCCTCCATTGATATGTTTATCAATATTTCTCAAATTTGTCAATCTATTTTTTTTAGATGAGTGAAATCCATTATTTTGATACACAAGCAGTTTTATCCTCATCATGATTAAAAAAAATTATGATTTTTTATTACTCGAAGTCGTAACACAAACATCCATTGACCAAACAGTGAACTTCTAATTAATTCACCCAATTTCCCTAATTATCATCACAATCATGTGAACCATCATTCGATTCAGACGTGACATTTAAACCATTAGTTAATGTTCTACATTTCCCTTGTTTAAAACTAACAAATTCACATTTTTTTATTAGTTCTTATAATTAATAATAAAAACATACTTTTAACTGTGACTTCATATCTAAACTACAAATCAAACACCGATAATTAATTAAGTATTCTAACGACTTTTATAGTACAAATCTACCATTTTCAACACAAGAATAGTTTACAAATAGTTGGAGGAGGCAAAATCAAATTAGTTAACCTCCAAGCAGGTCAACCATAATGTTCCCAACCCAACTTTAGTACCAAACTAAGCAGCTTTGTTCCCGTGGACCATGTGTAATTTTTTAAATATTATTATTAATCGAAGATTATTAAAATAAAAATTATGAAATTACATCACTCCCATTTCATATTTAATTAAACGTATTTACATTTTTTTATTTTCAGCCAAAACAATAGAGTAAGCTTTTAATACTTCTCTAATCATAAATAAATTAGTGAATCACGTGTTTGACTTAAGTTTCAGGTTATTCTTATATGATATATCAGAGTTTTCTGTTTAATATTAATTTAAAAGAATCAAGTAACCCACGAATGTTATCATCTTGCTGGTCAAATTCACGTTGGATATATTGGTAATCAACATAAATTCTCATTAATTATCTAAGTCTCTTAACACCGTCAATATTAAAAAGTGAAAGTGACTTTTTTTTCTTAAATATTAAAATAATATTTAGCTTATAAGAATCACATTTCACGCAAATAAACTAGTCATTAGTTAAATTACAATATTGATTGATTCAGGTGTTTAAAAATAAAATATTTTATTTTGGTATTTACATTTGTTTATTTTTTTATTTCTTAACTAATTTGTTCAACAGAATCAAAAAGAGTTATTGGCGTGTTTGGTTTCACGTCCGCCACACTTAATTCACGTCAAAAACGTGAAAATAAGAAGTAAAAATTTCTTACTTCTGCGTTAACGTAGTTTTTGAACGCAGATCCAGACACACACTTAGAGCACCTCCAACGGGGTGCTTACCCAGTTTCTTATTTATAAGCACCGTCTCTAACAAGGAATGCCCATTGGAGTAGGCTTACGTGGCCCAAGAAGGAAAATTTTTTTTAGCTCCGTGTCTTGCAGAAGCAACGGTGCTTGCCTGCTTCTGTTGTACTTTCTGCTTTCTTTTTCTTTACTTTCCTCTTTATATAAATTATTATAATAATATGAGGTGTTAAAAAGTGTAGTATAAGTTGTAGAAAATTGGAGTGCTTATAAGCAATTCTCATTAAAGCAAAAATTATAAAAATATACTATGAGTTGCTTATGAATGATGTGGCACAGTAGGACCCATTTAAAGTGGTTGTAGATGCTCTTATACGCTTATGATGAGTAGTGTTTCCGGATTGGATTACGTCATCAGTTTTAAGAGGGAGAAATTATTTGATCAAATAATTTCAGTTTTGAGTTTCGTAAACTAATCCTTTCATTTTAACATCAAATACAATCTGACTCAAATTATTTTAATGTGGATTAAATTATCGGTTTTAAAAAATACTGGTAAATATATTAATTAACACTAAACATTACATTCATATAGAACTCACACTCGTATAAAAACAAATTCTCGTAACGCAATTTTTATGTTGATTATTACCCACATAGTATAAAAAGTAACATAGTAATATATTTATAAATATGTTAAAATATTTTATGATAAATATGCATTTAATCATCATAAAATATTTTTTTATAATAGTCAATATTAATAGTAAAATATTGGTGTCATGATTAAATCATCATATTTGATAATCATACTTTAATAAATATTAACCACTCAAAATATAAAGTGTAACATTCTATGTGAGGTGGTCAACACCCCTTTATCTAAGAAGGTTGTTGTAACTTGTAATGCAGGAAGTGATGTCATAAAATGTTTTAACATTTTGCCAAAATCTATATTACATTTTGAACTGATATAAATGTAAAAAATAACTAATATATAATATATATTTTTGTATAGTAGTGTCAAATCATAATTCAAAATATACATTCAACTTATTAATTACAAATACATAATGGATTGATATATTAGTTAGGTATTTGTGTTGGTGAATACCATCTATTCAAAAAAAAAAAATTGTATACAAAAATACAAGCAAAATCAATCTTTGACATATTGACAATGTACCGGAGTATACTAGTCAGAAGACAAAAAAAAAAAAAAATATTTATATTATTTTGAATATATAATAAATAGAAAATTATAAGTCCCTAAAAGTCTTTGAATGTACAAATTAATCTAATTATTGAGTACACAACTAAATTTGATTCAACGTTGCACTTAAACATGTTATGGAGACAATAAATGTAATACATAATTCAATATTCAAATTTTATTGTGTGAAAATCTTTCAAGTTAGCAACACTTACAATACTGTAAAGCAAGATTAATCTAAAATTCAATGATGAGAATATTTATGATAAGACAGAAAATTATATCAATTTAAATTAAATTAATTTTTATTTATTTAAAAAGAGGTATAACTTCTTTTTAGATACAATCTAATTATTAAAAAAAAAAACAAATTTTAATTTTATTTTTTTAATTTTTTGTTCAAATATTACAAACAGTATTAGATTAGATTAGATTATAATTAAATCATTAAAATCAGTATTGCGATAATGATAAATTCATAAGTTAAAACTTTATTATCTTGTTATAATTTTTTGAACAGAAAATAAAATGGATTAATATTACAATTTGTATTACATTGGATTGGTTAATGAAAGGTCATAGTTTGAATGGGAGCAAATAATTCATTCCCACACGTGCAGTTCAGAATTTATTGCATTAAATTGTTGACCTTGTAAAACCGATGCATGTAAAGTAAATGATTAATGGTTGTAAAAAGTTTGAACAATATATTAGCTGAGGAGCATGCAGTAGAAGAATTTTCGTTCTCTTTGTGGAACAGCGTGGCATGAGACTATATGATTATGAATGCATTAATTGATGTATTATGACCTGTTGACCAGCACACGCTTGTGGAAATTCAACACCAAAGTCTATGTTCTTGTGTACCAAAACACGTGTTTAACTTGCTGTTGCTAACCACATTTTTTACATATTACACCACTACTTGAGACTTTCACCAAATTTAAATTATATCAACATCTTTTTTAAATGTATAATATGTTTTCTTATCTTTTTCTGCTGGAAAATCAACTGCTGCTACTAATTTTTTATAACTAAGTTCAGAATTCTTTTTTCAATTCATAAAATTGGAAAATTATTTTTTTTAGACATGTAAAACAAATATATTTTATTAATTTATTTTCAATAATAAAATATCATTTGAAATATTTAAATTTTTCATTAAAGATTAGTTATTAACAAAATCAACATATATTTTACATGTATAACATGATAAAAACAATTAGTTTTTAAAAAATAATGTTTTATATATAAATTTAATATTTTAAAGGATATTTTAAATTTAAAATTATGAAAATAAAGTCTAAAGTTAAAATAATTTTATTTGGAGCCCTCACAAAAATAAATCTCATGGGCTTTAGCCGTCTATGCCTTGAGCTTGTCACCTAGTTTTATTGTATGGCAATTCAAATCGAAATTGTGGGTATTTGTCTTACCCAACCCAATTTTGATGGAAAATGAAAAACAGTTTCATTGAATTAAGGGTGTTATGTGATCCCATTAATTGGGCAATTCCAGTTTATCCATGTTAAAACTGAACAAGGTCTCAGCATCAATATTCTTATGTTTCCAAACCACACCATAAGCAATTGGGTTTCGTAGCCGCCGGAGGCTCTTTGGGATATTTGTAGATCGTGAAGAAATAAAAATAAATAACATGACCAAAAAAAAAAAAGAATGAATAGAACTCAATGACCAAAATTTTTATCATGTAATATACTAATATTAGCAAACCAAAGCCATGTATAAATAATGAAAAATTGAGAATTAACTACTGATATACAAATAAATTAGAAAACTTGTTAATCCATAAATAATTTTTTTAATATATAAAAAATAAGCTATCAGATCAAGAGTCAATGACATGCTGAGAATTCTCGGATCAAACACCATTATCTACTTAGTGATTAACATAACTTAATAATATCTAATTTGACTGAGAATTTTACTTATCAAACTGAGGATCAACAAATATACATTAGAGAAATCTACCTCGTAAAAATTGAATTAACAAATTATTTTTCACAGCATATAATCTTGCAATGTGAGCTGTTGCAGAATCAGGAACCTCAACCATTTATCATTGTTAATGTTCACAAATACCTTAAGACATTTACTGTCTTCGGATAAGACACGAGTTTTGCAACACAAAGTAAGACCAAACCGCTGATCCCATTGCTAGATACAACAAACAAATATCGCAGTAACACTCCAACTAAATATCATTAACAAGTAACAACTCACACGTGAAGTTAGACTTTCACAATTTCATATTGAGAACCTTACCTAAGGGCTGGTAGGTTCCAGGTGTTCCATAAGATGAGGAAGGACTAAATGGTTTAGGGGTAGATTCCTCCCTAAGTGCAGTAAGGGCAGCCCTCCTTCTCTGCCTATGTTCCCTATGTCTCCTTATTTTGTCCTCTAATGCTGCTTTAGCATTCTCAGCAAACTCAGCCCTACTTAGAGCCTGTTCTGCACGTGCCCTCAGCTCAGCAATTTTCACTGATGCATTTTCCACCTCCTTTTTCATCAATGCTAACTCTGATAATCTTCCAACTTCCCCTACTGATCCTTGAGCTCCACTTGTCTTCTCAAAGTAGTATTTGCATGTGACATGGTCATCATTATTTTCACTATTTCTCTCCTCAGCTTCTGACTTTGAGTGATCATTCTTGTTAGTCAACCTAAGTTCCTGAAGCTGAGATTTCAGCAATGCAATTTCCACCTGTGCTTCATTGTCAGTCTCCTTTTTCATGTTTTGTTTAACTCTAGCCTCATGTAACTCACTTCTCAGTGATTCATTAGTAATGTTCAAGGAATTTATTTCTTCCTTTGCAACAGTGAGCTCTTGTTTTAACCGACTCCATTCCGCTTCCAGTGTCTCAATGTACACAGATTGATCCATGATCTTTCTTTCCTTTAGCTCCATGTCAATGATTAATTGGTCTGAGTTGTTTATGTTTTTGGGAGCAGAATCCTCAGATAAAGTGAGTGTTTCATAAGCTTGCATAGGTTCCAAGGGAAGAGAATCAACCAGTGTAGTAGACTTATCCATTAGCTGATTTTGTAATTCCTGTAGCATTTCTACATGCTTTCTCATATCTTCTAGCTGTTGTTGTACTTGAGCAGTAGCTTTTGTAGCTAAATCAATTTTCTCATCCTTCTCAGACAATATAGCTAACTTCTCTTTCTCAGCTTCAATGGCAGCTAGTTTTGAATTGTGAATAACTTCATTTAGCTCCTTCACTTGCTGCAGGAGTTCTTCTTTCTGTTCCTTTTCAACCTCCAAGGCAGATTCCAATTGTTTTGCATTTGTCAAAGCTTTCAGTTCAGAATCTCTAGCAGCAACAAGTTCTGTTTCTTTGTTTAGAAGCTCCCTTTGTGTCGCCTTCAATTCACACAAAACATGTGTAAGCTGGTTCCGGACCTTTGCAGTCTCCAAATTCTGATCAGCCATCTCTTTCATCTTGGATTCAAGTTCATCTTTGCAAGCTCTGCACTCTGAACATTCATTCGTGTTCTTGTTTCTCTCAAAATCAGAATTCTTCAGCAGGGTAGTCAATTCATGAATCATCTTTTGGCTGTGCTCCATCTTAAGAAGTGCTTGCATGTGTGCAGCTTGCTTTGCTTCTAATTGTACCTTGCAGTTGGACAATTCCTTTGTCAACTCCTCTAGTTCTTTTTCACAACCACTCTGACCAAAACAAAAAGGAAAATCATGAATTTAGATACCGATCTCTCATGAGTCATGACCATTACACTGATATTAATAGATAAAAAATCTACACCAGTGAAAGGGACTAATAATTGAACATCACATCACAAATGTCAAGTGTATAGATACTGTATTTTGTATAGAAAAGTAACATAAGATAATTTTAAACTCTTTTCCTTACTTACCTTACTCCTGGTAGGTTGATATTTCTTCTGATCACCTTTATCTCCAAACAAAGACACGGCATTTCGGACCGGTTCAATTGATTTGGTATCTATCTCACTACCCATGATTTTGCAAACAATAAGAGCATGTAACAGCAGTGGCCAAGAAAGTCAAAACCCCAAAATCTCCAGGTTACAATCTAAACAAATAATAAAAGAAAAAAAAAATCATAGGTGTTAAAATTGTATATAAGCCATCAAACATGGTAAAGAGAGCATCAAACATAGAACTGTTCAACATAGTTAAAACAACTAGGAAATTACTCCAACAAAAAACTAGGAAATTAAATATATAAGAACTTAAAACAGCTTAGTCGTATGTTTTTATCTTATAGGCAGATGGGTAAAGATGAGTTGCATGTTGTTAGAAGTCATATCAATATCATATGTGAGATATATGCATAAAAAAATAATGTACGTGTGATGTGGAAAGAATAAAACTACAAAAGAACCAAGTATGATAGAAGATGAGCAGATACGTACCTGACTCGGGGGTAGAACTAGGAGGCAAGTTTGCGGGGAAAATGGGAAGAAAAAGGAAGTGAGAATAGGATGAAGAGAGACAAATTAAAAATATGAAAGTTGTCATGATGAAGGTACGTTTTGGAAGTTGTATTAATGGGGATAAGCATTGCGGATAACACAACGTGGTGAACTTGTCACTGAGTATGGCCGTCGAAGAATTATAAGTTTTTGTTCTTGGAATCGTCGAGTAGAGGTTGGTTTATGGCTTTATGCTGTGGCCCTCTGAATTTATACATTATACCATGCAAATCCTCTTCTTGTCATGTTATAGTGTTTTTAATTTATTTTTATTTTATGGTCTCGCTGTCTGATGTGATATTGGAAATGGAGTATTCCGTATTCGATTATTTGTTTGTGTTGATTAATATTAATTAATCAGTTAAATATTTTTTAAATTATTAATTAAATATGTTGATTATGAAAATAAAAATTTATTCATAATAATTGATTAATTAATGGTGCTCTAACTATATTTTTTGTTTCGGATGATTTCTGATGGATTCGATTATTCATGTAATAATGGTCTCTACTATCAATAAATATGGTTATAAAAGTTGTTTTTCACAAGACAATTATTTTTTAATGTGAAACTCTACCTATCAATATAGAGTATATAGTCCTTATAATTGTTATTCTAACATGTACTAACAATGCTTAACCATAAATTTAACTTTTTTTTTTATGTAACTTATATAATTATAATCTTAATTTTCTCTTTGGATGTTTTATAATATTCTACAATTAATTTTGCGTCATTAGTGAGTTTAATATAGGGTTATATTTAGGAAAATTCTTTACTTGGTATGAAAGCCTAAATCAATGCATATGTTATTGCTAGTTTTGTGAGTTGGTGCCTCAAGTTAGAAATTAAAATCTTATGAAGCCTAATCTTCTTGGCTTCATCATTTTTATTATAGTAAAATTAATTAATCTCACAAGGCTAATTTTGATAGTTGAATATTTCCCACTCTCTTCTTAAATTTATTAAATCTATTTATGTTTATTATGATAATAGGATTCTAAGGATAATAAAATAAGATTCACCTTAAATTTTTTTTGTTGACTTTAGAATGCTGATTTTATTTATTTGAAGTCGTGAAGTAGTAAAAGCTTCCATTTCATAATTTATGCTGGAATTCGGTCATATAGAAGATTGATTATTTATTGCTTGTTTACTGAATACAATACCACACAAGCAGCGGGTTTGAAACATATTCCTATAATTCAAATAAATTGCGTAATTAGACAAATACGTCAAAATTAAAACCATGAATAAAAGACTTATACAATATACTGAAGTTAATTCTTCTGTCAAGAATTAAATATGAAAGATATTTTGCATTATATGAAAAACAAATAAAAGTTTTTGTTTTCTCCAAGAGTCAAATATTAATTTTGATGACCAAATAAAAGTGATTAGAATTTGAGAGACATAATTGACAATCAAGATTAAGGTTCAACTAAATTAGAATTGCAAAAATTAGGGACAATTGAAGTTGTAACCCTAAGTTTCTTAATCCTTAAATCATTATCAAATCTTGACTCTGCATAAATTGAGATTATTCACAATTGAAGTTGTACTTTTTCCTATAAAAAAATTGGGTTACTCCAAAACAATTGAGAATTTTTGTTAAGCTGGTAATTGTTGCGTAGTTCTTTGGATTTAATATTTGGAATCATATTCATTGTTATTATTGATAAGATACATTTGTCCTTGATGTATTTCAAGTGCAACATTGGACAAATTTATTTGACTAATGAAATTCATTAACTTTACTTGGTGAATATGATTGACAAAGCGAAATCTCATCATCAAGTTGCTTACAAATTTGAATTTCAATTATGTTTTTGTACATTTTGGATTATTTTACTCTTATTTAATTTTTTTTAAGCATTTTAACTTTGATTAAGAACATATTTATATACAAACTTAAAAAGATTTTTAAGAGTTTTTTTTATATTAAAAAATGCCTTTTATTTTCAATAATTAAACTCTTAAAAATCGTTTTAAATTACATCCAAACAGGTTGTAAGACTTATTTTTAAGTTAGGGAATATAAATAGGCCTATTTCAGCCTTTGTTAAAAACTTTTAAAACTTTAGATATTAATTAAGAATTAAGCATTTAAATTTTGTGAGAGAAGACTTTTGAATTTCTCTTATATATTTTTTTATGAACCTTTGATTCTTATCAAGATTTAAGCATTTAAGCTTGTGGTGCATCTTCATTATCTTATCAATTCTTCCATGATATTGGTGATTTCTTTCATTTGTTCATTTTCTTTTTCATTTATAATTTTCATTTCTTAACTTCTTGATCAGTCTTCAATGGTAATTCTTCGAAATGGTTGAATTTCACGAACCAGAACGAGAAATGTATCATAATATTAAGGAGAAGCTGAAAATTATTTGTCTACAATAATCAAATGATTTCTCACACTATTATATTTGAACATCAATTCAAATGAGGAGGAAACTGGGTGAAATTAAGAGCAATGAATGAAAAATTATTTGGAAGACAATATTAAACACTTGAATTCTAATGATAAATTTGGCATTTTAAAGTGAAATTCTATGATCTTTCTCGAATGGTTAGAAGTTGGCATGATCATACAAACGATTTTTCATGATTCGATCAATTTAATTATAAAATTTGTATTTCTAAAAAGTTTTGAAATAAAATATATGTAGGTGCCTAAAATTTATGTTCAGAGGAAGTTAAATAATTATTTAAAAAGAAAAAAGTCTCGGATCAATCTGCAGAGTGATAAAAATAATATTTATTTGGTGACTCAACAAAACCCTAGCAGCGCAAAGGATTAAGGTTAAATTGCATATTTGGCTCCTTTATTTTTATCGATTTATAATTTTGATTTTTTTATTTTAAAATAAAATATTTTTTTTAAAATACAAAATTTGAGTCTTACTTTTAATTTGATATTCGTTGATCGTTAATTTTTTATATTATTTAGTAATTTATCATTATCTAAGTGATGTGATATTTAACGAAATAACATATATGGATAAAAATTAAAAAAATAACATAAAATATTTTTGTTTGTATCTATTTTTATTAGTTATTGATATTTATTTTATTAATAAAAATTTTATTTGCATACTTTATAGTTTTTTATTTTTAAATATCGTATTACTAAATTTCACATCACTTAAAATGAGTAAATGTTAAAATTTAATGATTAGTAAATGTCATTTTTACAGGAGAACCAAAAATTCGTATTTTTAAAACTAGAGAAACTAAATATCTCTATTTTAAAATAGAGAAATCAAAATTGTGAATCAATGAAAATAGAGAGATTAAAAGTACAATTTAAGTATTAACTATTTTTGAATTGGACAATATTAGCTTCTTCTGTATGCTTATTCACGGTTCATAAATAAATATACATTTATAATATTCAGGAAATGTATTGGATTATAATTTCAATAAATTTTATAAGACTTTTTTATTATAAAAAAGGTCTTGTATACTCAATTAAGACTTTTTTTTAATATAAAAAGTCGTGTGATATTCAATCAAGACAATAAAGATTTTTTTAAGAATTCGTAGAAATCTAGTGGTATTTAATTAAGATAATCAAGATTTTTTTAGAAACCCATCAAAATTTGGTGATATTCAATTAAAACTTTTTTTTACTTGAAAAAGTATGTTGGTATTCAAAAATAAAAAAGATTCACACTAATATCTAAACAATGGTTGCTCATGACACATGACGTGAGAAAGATCTATATTCCTAGATCTTCATCCTCATGAAAAAACAATTTCATTTGAAGGTAGTGATAAAGGAAAGATCAGAGATATAGGTAAGATAGTAAGAACTTTACACATATTATTAATAATGTGTTCTATATTGAAAGATTAAAGTATAATTTATTTAGTATAAATTAATTTTGTGATAGTGAGTATATTGTATCCTTTGACCAGGACTTATACACAGTCAAATAAAATGATGAGTCTATACTTTTTTATTGTCTAAAGAAAAATAATATCTATGAGATTTATCCTAATGATTTAGTAAAAAAAATGTAACTTATTTGATTTTAAATAAGATGAAAGATGGATTTGGCATAAAAAAAATTGGACACATAAATTTAATGTATATATAAATTAAACAAGAAAGATTTAGTAAGAGAAATGCCTGAAATTTCTTAAAAAATCATATTTTTTTACGGAACTTGTGAGAAGAGGAAACAAATTAAAATTTATTTGAAACTTAAAAAGATTTTTTTATGTGACAATGGTAATATAATAAATATAATATGTATTTTGTATGTTATGTAAGATTTTTTTTATAAAATAGAGTTGATTATAGAAACTATTTTTAAAACGTTATAAAATGTTAAAAATGAAATAAAAAAAATTATAAAGACTAAAAGTGAAAGGAAAAAAATTACATGAAAAAATTATATTTAAGAAGAAAAGAAATAGTTCTATTAGTAAGAAATCGTTTGAATACGGAACATACGAACTCATTGTTAGTAATTTCCTATTAGTTGATTAATAAATTTAATAAATAAAAATTAAGTAATGATATGAAACAGAATTAAAGTCGTGTCACCAACAAGTCATTTTGGTCTTAATGGTATCATGCGGAGATCTCTTAAATAATACTCATCTTGCAGGTGAAAAAAATATGATAGGAAAAAAATTCATTAAAAAATAGTTAATAATTTTTTTTATTGAGATTAGTAATTAATAAAATTAATAGATATTTTACACATGAAAAAAAAATTAAACTAAAAAGTTTTCTGCAAAGTTTTGTACAAATGTTCTTTTATTGATGCTAATTAACATTTTTTTTTTTCAAAAAAGTTTGTAAAAACATCACTGACAATATTTTTACATAAAATTTCCCTTTTTTGTTGGGTAATAATACTTTTACATCGATTTAACACATAAGTAGGTGTGACATCATTGTTTGTTTGTCATGTTTTATTCAGCGAGCCTCATACCTCACATTAAGAAGAGATTGAATGTGAAACATCATCTACCTATACAACAATTATAACCATAATTTCACAGAAATTGATGTTAATTTAGATTAGAAGTCAAGCTAAGCTCGTAACTAACATATAACATTGAAGCAGTAGCCAAAACTAATATACATAATTTTCAATAAGAATTTTAATTTTTAACCTCAAAATCCAAACTAAAGAGACAAAAGTTAGGAGTATATCCTCATACAGTGATGATTTCACTTTCAATGATTTTCGGGTTTCCATCTTTTTTAAAATTTTTATTTGAAAGTTCTTGAGCATTTACTGTTATGTGGCGCCCTGAGTTGTCTGGTTTACCATCCAAGATAGAGACACATTGTATAGTGTTAATTTAAACATGGTTTTCCTTTGTTTGTTTCAATAAGAGAGATTGAGAATTGGTAAAAGCTGAAGGAAAATGGATAAAGCTCTGACTAAACTGGGAAGCTCTTGGATCTCAACCAAAGCCAAGACAGAGATTTCCCACATAACCGATGACCTATCAGTATGTCTCTCTGTCTCACTCACCCTTTATTTCTTTAGTGTTTGAAAATTTTCATTTGTTTAGGACCACCTTCAAATCTTAAATTTCTGTTTGCTTTTGACTTATCTCTATTTTGGGTAACTCATGCTAATCTTGTCCTCATGTTACTTACACCCCATTGTTCTTCAAATTAGTGTATACCTTATTGGAAGATATTCTTTGCTCTTTGAATAACTAGTCACATAGGCAAGATCTGGGAATCTACAATGAAAAAGGGATAAAAACTAAGGAAAACGATATTGAACATATGAAAGTGTAGAACCAAATTAGCCATAGCATACATGAAAAGCTCACATGCAGTTAATTGGTGACCCCAAAAATTTTAAATATAAATAGTTTGCAGATCCTGGTAAATTAGGGGAAAAATGGAATTCAGAAGAGATCCTATTAGCCTTCTGTTCTTCCTGTTTATGCAAATTGATTTGTTGCTGTGTAAACATTTTACTAATATTTTGTGCTACAAGAATGCCTATATTTGTATTTTGGTACATCAAAAATGCTCAAACGGTGCTTGCAATTTCAGTCTCTCTCAAATACGGTGGAAGAGAAGGCAAAACTTTTCATCAACAAGCTGAAAGGTACTTAGTATTTTATTTTCACAAAATTTTGCACTTGTGGTTTCCAGCATTAACCAGTTATGACTTGCAAAATGTTTGCGTAGGCCTTTCTTATCTCGCAGAGAGCTAATTATGTACTTATTAAAACAAAGATTCTCTCTCAGACTTTTTTTTATTATTAAAATTTTCGTGGGTTCTATTAGTTTGAGAATGATATTCAACAATAAAAAAAATTAGAACTCGCATATTGAGTGAGATTCACGTACTAAAATAAAAGATAATATCTATAACATTGTTTTACAAAATATGTTAATAATATTTATCATCTTTACCTTCTTTTTTAGCTTCTCACTCTCAATATTTGCTTCATATGGAAACTTCACCTTTCAATTTCAAAATCGCCTCTGTGACTGTGACATTAACCAATAATATGCAATTTCGGTTTTTTAAAAAGAATTAACCTACCTAATCTCAAGATATAAAGTTATGCGACGGGTGACCCGTTGTTATCCTATAATTACACATTATTTGCTTCCTTTCCTTTGGTGGCTTCGTGATTTTCAAATTGAAAACTTGAAATAGCAGTTTTTATATTTTTTATTAACTAAACTACATTCCTAAGGTTTCCGTGATTTTAAGTAGCAATTATTTTATTGACATGATTTATGACGTCAATAAAGACCGATCACAGAAAATTTCAAATGAAATTATGTTATAGCATCTCCAATAATGAATATCTCATCCTATAAAAATAAGTAAAGACCGACTACAACCTATCAGAGATATTCTAAGTATGTACAAATAAATTTTTCTGAACTTATTTTTAACTTATACATGAATTTATTTAAACTTATAAAGAAAATTTCATACATGAATTTATTTAATTTGTTCTGTTTTTCCATTAATAGGTAAATCTCAGAAAGGCTTACCAGATCTCCTTAGAGAGTACAACCTTCCTCCGGGTCTGTTTCCTCGGAACATAACATGCTACGAGTTTGATGCATCAAAAGGAAAGTTGATAGTGTACTTGTCCTCTCCCTGTGAAGTGTGTTTCAAGGACTCATCCATTGTGAGGTATGCAAATCGTGTAAAAGGGACACTGTCAAAGGGGAAGCTAACTGTCGTGGATGGAATGAAGAGCAAGGTTCTGGTGTGGGTCAAGGTCACTACTGTTGCTGTTGAGAGTTACAAGTCTGACAAAGTATGGTTCACTACCACCGCTGGAGTTAAGAAATCAAGGCCCAAAGATGCCTATCTTATGCCTCGTGAAGCTGTTAAGGTAGAAGAATTTTGAGACACTTTTTATGTTATTATGCTATCACACTTGAAATACATTTCACTTTCTCACCTATCATTTTAAGAAAGGTGCATGTTGTAGGCATTGATGGTACTACTTGGTGATAAGTATGTATACACTAATGATAAGGGTATTTATATCTCGACACCTCGTAATTTTACATACTTCATCAACATTTATTATTTCCCTTCTATCTCTGGCTTAATATTAAATCGTATCACCTTTTATGTTTGTAGTTTTTTTTTAAGCTGTCAAATAGGTGTTATAGATATTCAAGAATCATTTTTATGCAAAAGTCAACACCAGGAGAATAATTCGTGAAATTAATTATTATCAAACTGGAATCATGTTTTGGTTGGCTAGTTTTTATTAAGTTTTTAATCGTGTTTATTTTAAAAATAATCATTATTTGTTATAATTAATCTAAAGAGTTTTAAGTTAAAAAATTAAGTAATTGAATTAAAAATACTAAAAAAATATGCAGTAAATTAAATTGAAAAGAAAGTAAAATTAAGAAAAGAAGAAAATTGAATTCTTCATAAATACATAAAAAGATTTTTCACTACTAACAAGGTGTGATATGATTGATACATAATCTTATCTCTTAAATTAAAGGTTCGATCTATAATTAATGCGTATGAAAAAAATTTATTAAAAAATGTCAACTTCTTAAATGAATCTCAATACTTTAAATGATTAGTTTTTAACTTTTGACTAAGAATATGATGAATTATAAAAATAAAAAAAAATTGATGCGAAAAAATCTTACCAATAGAGTCATTTGATTTGATTAAGTGTCAAAGATTAAATATATTTTTAACTCTTGAATTTTTATCAATATTCACTTTTAATTCTTTGATAATTTTTTTTATTAGTTTTAGTTCCTAAAGGTTATTCTACCTTTTTCTTTTTTCTTTTAGTTAGATGTGTCGCTAGATGTGGTACCATTAGAGAAAATATTGTCAAATGTTAGAATAAGAATTATATTTTGTTTGGTGGAGAAGAAAGAAAGAAATAAAGAGAAATAAGAGAAGATAAGAGAAAGGAAGTGAAGAAGAGAGTGAAAATTGAGGTTGTTTGGTAAGAGCACCTCTAGTGAGAAGTGCTTGTTGTGTATCTTATTTTTAAGCAACAGTGCTTACAAGAAATCCTCATTGGAGTTAACATACGTGACAAGACAAGTTCTAAAATTTTTAGCTTTGTTGTTTGGAGAAGCAACGATGCTTAACATTCTAAAATTTAAAATGGAGAGGTTTGATTGGTTGATGTTGATCCAAGGTAAAAGTGTACAGAAATTTTACAAAAAGTATAGTGTGAGGTGTAAAAAAGTGTAGTATGAGTGGTAAAAAAGTAGGGGTGCTTATAAGCAATTTCATTGGAACAAAAGTTGTAAAAATTGGTATGAGTTACTTATGAGTGATATGATACAATGAGACTCATTTAAAGTGGTTTGAAGTTGTTTATAAGCAACTCCCATTATAGATACTCTAAGAAAAAAGTAAAAGAAAAGTGAAAGGGAGATTAAAAGATTATTTAATATAAAAATAATAAAAAAATATATTTTTTATTATTACTATTAATATTTCATTTTAATTTGTGTTGTATTGTTATTTTAGTTTTTATATTTTTTTAAAATATTTTATATATTAAAAAAGGCAACATAATTGATTATGTTGCATTTCTAACACTGATTCTTCACTTTTTCTGTATTATCAAATTATGTATCTATAGTAATAATTTATACATTTTTCTACTCTTCTCCTCTCTTTGTTTAGTGCTGTCAAACACACACTTAAAAAAGAACTAATAATCAGCACCATTATTATAATTATCACCTTCATTATTGTTGTAGCCTCTTTCCTCAGAAATGTTGGTGTGACTACCATCACTTGCAACAAATATAATGAGATGAGAGAGTGGAGAGAGGATAAGAGTGAGATGAAAGATTTGGGAAAGAAGCAAAGTGAGATGATCGAGGTAGGGAAGTTTTCGCTTTCACACTGAAATTAAAAACCAGAGTTGACATGAATATGATCGACATTATGATAGAAGCTAAAGTTATAAAACTAGTGTGGACTTGGTCAACACTACTTAATAAAAAATATTGAAAAATATATAATTTAGGTGATGCTAGTACGAGTTACTCATTGGATCGGATATGTCATTGATATGTTTTAAACCGGTATGACTTGATCGGTTCACTGGATAGATGAATCAATGAATTGGTTAATATTAAATACTACTAAACCAAGTATTATTGTATTGTCTACTTCACTTATATTATTTTTACACAAATCTTATATAAAATTATATATTAATTATAATTTTTGGAAATGAGACTTAGATAAAAAATAAACGTGATTGTTAACACTTTAGTGATTATTAAATTAATATACTTTAATATACAACTGATTTAAATAATTTACATAACATATTTTTAATTTATATTTATAAATTTAATTATATATTAATTTATTAATTTAATCGGTCTATAATTTTGTTATCTATTAATATTATATTAATTATAGTTTTTTTTAGGTTTTTTAAGGTATGATATGAATTTTATTAAAATTTATAGATATCAAATATGTATGACATGATTTTTCTAAAAAAGTTATTAAAAATTTAGTCATGTAATTTAATTAGTGATCTATTGATTCAACTTCTGACCCACTAGTATTATATTAATCTAATTTTTAAAATATTAATTGAGTTTCACTCAAAATAAAACTTAATTTTATCTTAACTAACACTACTTATCAAAATTATTTTTGAAAAAAAAAAATATTTAGTGTGGATCAAGCCACCGTTAAAGTTTTTGTTTTCCACTTAAATTGTTTTATAGTTTTAAATTAAACTCCAATAATTTTTTAATTTTTTTATCAATAATTAAAATATTTTTTTATAATATTAATTATTTATTATAAATTTAAAATATAATTCATATGTTCAAAAGTATTATTATCTATTATAAATTTTAATTATAAATAATTAAAATATTTATTTATTAAAAATTATAATTATATAAAAATAAATATTTATTCTATACACTTCACTTACTAAAATATTATTTACTTTTAAATTTAAATAAAAACAGTAAGATATAATGTTATCACTTTATTTTATTTGTTATTTTAAAAATAAATTAAATTCTCAGGTATAATAAGTAAATGTGTACTAATCAATAAATAAATATACAAATTTAAGTACTTGATAACGAAAATATTTTTAAAACTCATAATTTTTCTTCTTCTTATATTAATATTGATTAAATAAAAAAATAATTATTTAATGAAAATATTTTTTTAGACTTTTTATTTATTTATAAATTATTAATAATTTTAAATAGTTCATTATCACAATATAAATGATTTATTATAAAATTAAAATATAATTTACATATTTAAAAGATTTATTTATTACAAATTTTACTTATAATATAATATAATTTATATTAAAAATGATTTTATAAATTTTAATTATATAATATAGTAAAAACGTTACTTTTTGAGTGAAAAAATAGCGCTATTTTTCTTTTTTACAGAAAAATGTGTGAATGTTAAAGTTAGTTTTATTTTAT